CAGTCAGTTCCCATCAGAGAGGAAGCCCCTCTAGCTCCATGCTGCTCTATAGCCTGTTGCCAACTAGGCGTTGTCCCCTACACCACCACAGTCTCTGCACAGGGACCCAGGGCTCCTCATCACAGAGCTCCCCATGCCCTTGAACCCTGCCTTAAGTCTCAGTCTCAAATCATAAGTGTTGCAGTATCCCACTACACTGTGCATATCTCCCCGCTGGAGCTGAGGATGTACTTCAGTTGGTAGAATGCTTGCCTAGCATATATGAAGCCCCAGCTTCCATCCCTAGTACATTCCCATAACTCCAGCCCCGGGGAGATGGAAGAAGGAAGATCAGCCATTCCAGACCATCCTTAGCTACAAGTCTGATTTCAGCCTGAGTTACCTGAGATCATGTCTTAAAAAGAAAAAAGCCAAACCAAACCACAAAACTCTCCTGGGATCTGCCACAAAGTCATTGAAGTTGAGAAAAACCCCTTCCCCAATATCAACTACAGCTATGTGAGGGCCAGAAGCCTCAGCCCCATCAACATACTTTCTCCACACAGGAGGGAAATATGCCCGGCCTGGACCTGTCTTGCATTCCTCACCCAGAGCTAAACAAGAGTCAGTAAGGACCAGGCCTACCGAGTTACATCATGAGCACCACCACACTCCAGCCACTGGGCCCTCTCCACACCAGGACAGAATAGAGGCTGGTCCCCAGTCTGTCTGTTTCTGGAAAGAGGGGCTCCAGGCCAGGCCTGGGGAGAGCACAGGGTGCTGCTACATGTCTTGCAGCCCCTGCAGATGTAGTTCTCAGGATGGGTCATGGGTCTGAAAGGGTGGAATCTTGGAGTTGAGAGCAGACTTGCACTCACCTTAGCTGCCCCAGTGTGCTTTATGTAATTAGCAGTAATCTTTACAGGAGGCCTCACAGTTCCAGGGGGTTTCCCAAGGACAGACTTGAGAGAGTAGAGCTGTTTTTGCACCCATTTGTAGATAATGAACCCTGGCTAGGGTTACAGGAGGGTCCTCTTCCCCTGGGCCTAGTCCCTGCTTCCTTGGTATGTGGTTCTTTCTCCGATCAGCTGCCCCAGGCAGAAAAATATCCGGGTAGCAGGGAGGCTCAAGGCATGGACCCTACAGTTTAGGCAAGGAGTTAAAGCAGCTTTCCGGGTTCCTCACTTACTGTCTCTCTGCAGAGAAACAGCTCACTACCAGATGAGAACAATGTAGCCAGACTGCAAGAGGAGCTTAAGGCGCTCAAGGTGCGGGAGGGCGAGGCTGTAGCCTCTGCGCGGGAGCTGAAATTGCAGCTGCAGGAGCTCTCAGACACCTGGCAGGTGAGAACGGGTGGTGAGGGAGCCCCCAGCAGGATGTGCCCGGAGCAGCTGGTGGGCCTTACCTCGGGGCTGGTCTCTAGAACCCCTCCAGCCATTCTTCTAGGCTCATCTTTCCCGTGGTGGCCGCTGGAAGGAGTCCCCGCGGAAGCTGGTCCTGAGCGAACTGCAGGACGAGCTCATGACCGTGCGTTTGCGCGAGGCGCAGGCCCTGGCCGATGGCCGCGAATGGCGGCAGCGCGTGGTTGAACTGGAGACCCAGGTAGTCCATGCCTCCGAGGGACAGGGACCCCCACAGCGGGCCCCTTGACCAAACCACGACCACCCCTCTCCTGCTGCTATGCCCTCTGGTCCTCCTTTCCAGGACAACATCCACCGCAACCTGCTGAACCGTGTGGAGGCAGAACGTGCAGCTCTGCAGGAGAAGCTGCAGTACCTAGCAGCGCAGAACAAGGGACTCCAGACTCAACTCAGTGAAAGCCGCCGCAAGCAGGCGGAGGCTGAGTGCAAGGTGCAGCCCCTGCCTGGACCCCACGACCCTACCTGGGACCTTGCCACCTCCTTAACCCAACCTCTGTACACCTCCTTCCCCCCATTTCAGAGCAAGGAGGAAGTGATGGCGGTGCGCCTTCGGGAGGCTGACAGTATGGCCGCAGTGGCGGAGATGAGGCAGCGCATAGCAGAGCTGGAGATCCAGGTGAGCTGCCGGAGCTGAGAGGAGGGTGGTGCCCTTGGGCTGGCCATGCTCTGACTGCCAGTACTCTGGCCTTACCGGCAGAGGGAGGAGGGCCGTATCCAGGGCCAGCTGAACCACTCGGATTCTTCGCAGTACATCCGCGAGCTGAAGGACCAGATTGAGGAGCTGAAGGCCGAGGTGAGAGCAAGGGTTGCTGGCGACAGGCCAGACTCTGGTGTAGGGACCCGGATGAAGCATGAAGCTAGGAGGGTAAGGGAGGAGGGCGCCTGATGGCCAGGCTTTTGTGTGGGCACATCAGTCCACATCTCCAACGCGCGGGTGCCCCCCCCCTCCGCGCACCCCAGGTGCGGCTGCTGAAAGGCCCACCAACCTTCGAGGACCCGCTGGCTTTCGATGGTCTTAGCCTGACACGGCACCTGGATGAGGACTCCCTACCATCTTCCGATGAAGAGCTGCTGGGCGTGGGCGTGGGCGTGGGCGCAGCCCTGCAGGACCCACTCTACCCTCTGTCGCCCCGGGACGCACGCTTCTTCAGACGTCTGGAAAGGCCAGCCAAAGACAGTGAAGGTAGCTCAGACAGCGATGCAGATGAACTGGCCACGCCTTATAGCAACCAAGGCCTGGACAACTGAGGCTGGGGGCCCACTCACTGGGAGCCTGGAGACTGCAATCACCACTTGCCGGGAGGAGAGGGCAGCAGTCAGTGACCTTGCTGCTCCGCAGTACTAAAAATTACGTGCCTCTGTGGTTCCTGCCAAACAAGGGCCAGGTGGAGGAGGCAGCACAGAGGGCAGGGCCTACTGGCAGGCCTGTCTTACATAGCAGTGTTGACCCGGTTTGGTCCATACGGCGCAGGCCCTCCTGAGTTCAAGGGGTGCCTGGGTCAGTTACCTGGAGGGTGATGCTCTCTTCATATGGACAAGGGCCGAAAGTGCAGAGGTCCCAAGACTTGCTAAGCAGAAAACTTCCTCCTCCCAGTCAGCTTCCCTTTGGGACAAGGGTGGCCCTGCTGGGTGGGGCCCAGGAGCTGCAGTGGGTCTGAGGAAGGACAACTTGGACTGGATATTAGCACCCCAGGACAGGCTTTCTGGACACAGTGATTTTGAACAGCCAGCCCCTTGCCACCAGGGTCAGATGGCTAGGCTGGGCTTTTCTGCCTGGTGCAGGCATCATGGCCCCTGCAGCAGAAACCAAAGTCCCCCCCCCCATCCTGTGTGCAGGACCACCAGGGGTGTGAGTGGTCCGTGGGAACCAGCTCAGGCATGGGCAGTGTCTCCCCGCCCTCTAGGGCTGCAGAAGCTGCAAAGAAGAGACCCTTTTCCCTAGAGCACCCATCTTCCTCTGGGGAATACTAATATCACACATGTTGGCTGGCTGTGGAGGAAAACCCCTTCCTTAGGAGTGCTCAGCCTCAGTTCTCTTGTTCCTGTGTCCCTAGCCCCACTTCTGGCCAGAGGTTCCCAGTCAGAGTTACCTCCCTTATCTCCTTGAAGTGTTTCTGTGGTCTCTGCCCAGAGCTGAGAATGGTGCCAAAGTCCATCGATGCTCCCAGACTCCTTTATCCCTCACCCCCTGCATCTTGGGACCCTGGGGGCTGACCCCCCTCTCAGTGCTTCTAGAGCCTCAGGTAGAGTGGCGTCCCAAGCAATCCCTGGGTGCTTCCTGGGTGGGCCCCCAGCTCAGTCTCCATTCCCGGTGGCCCACTCTTTAAGTGTTAAAAAGCCTGGGGGCTGGGACAGGGTACCCCTGAGGGGCCCTCTTTTGTGCCCCTCATGTGCCCCTCCACACTGCCCACCACCATTTTGCACACTGCCTGTTCACACTCCATGTCTCCCAGGCAGGAAAGATGGAAAATAAAGTGTATTTACACAGTCACAAGGGACGCTGAGTGGAGCAAGCCAAGGGCTGGGAGAATCACAGCAAGGTGCCGACCCCGTCCTTGTGTTCTGGAAGTTCGAAGACGAATGCAATAGCTAGTCAGTGTGAGAGAGGCCACAGGGTGGATTTGGATGCCCTAATCCAAATGCCAACTTGAGGAAAAGCTGGACCCAGTGATAGCCAGTGGAGTGTTCTGCCTGTGGCTGCCTTTGTGGAGTCTCTGCTGTCATGGGAGTGGGTACTAAGGGTAAGGGAATTTGTGTAATGCCAAAGTAGACAACCAGAGCGGAAAAGACAGAGCAGAGGAGACAAGGTGAGAAATTCCCCTGAGGGCAAAAGCACAAAGGCCCTGCTAATAGGGAGTGGAGGGGTTATTTTCTGGGAGGAGCCAGAATATCCTGGAAGAAGGAACAGATCTTGGGTGTGTGATGAGACCAGGAAGGTGGTGAATGTGACTGCTCCAATAAGGAGCTGAGTTTGGGCTTGAACTGAGAGCAGTGTGGGATCCATGGGAAGGCTGAGAAGAGAGCCTATTGAATGGGAACTCCCCTACTGGAGAAATCCCCTACTGAGGGTCAGTAAACAGGTCAGTGCATCAAATGCCAAACTGGCTTAGGAATGGGGACATTACATTGGAGTGTTGTCTGGGAGAAGAGTGCCCAGGGTTAGCACCAGCTCATGGAGGGAAGGGAAGGTATAGTCAAGAGCACTAAAAGACAATTATTTACTGCTCAATGGCACTGAGCAACGACACAACACTGATTCCATGTCAGAATAGCTGAGTCCCCTACAAATGCTCCCATTCATTCCGGTCACACAGATCTAACACTGATGCTCATCTGTCACTGTGCCTACTGCTCCCATGGGTCACTAAGCATCCACACGTTCTTGTCCCCAAGCTGGCTCCCTGAACTGAGACCTGGCAATAAAGGAAAAGTCCTCACAGAAATTGGCCTGAGGTCCTAGCTGCCCAGTGTTAAGAGTCAGCTTTTTGCTGGGACACGGTGGCATCTTTAATCCCAGCACCCAGAAGGCAGTGGCAGGAGGTTCTGAGTTCCAAGGCCAGCCTGGTCTACAGAGTGAGTTCCAGAACTACAGGCTAGCCAGAACTATATGGAGAAATCCTGTCTTGGGATGGGGGAGAGTTAGCTTTTTTCTCTTAGGCTTGTCTTGACATCTGGGAACAAGGATATCTGGGGTTCCCTCCAGGGCTCAGCTAGAGAAGAAATCTCTGGCTTGCCACAAATCTCAGTGCTAGAGTCCAGAGCATGTGCCCTCCCCCAACAACAGAGGTAGCAGTGCCCCTCTGAGACGAGACTTCTCTTTGGACTGTAAGCCAGGAAGTGGCTGTTTCAGGGCGAAAGACAGAGAACTTAGTTGTCTGTGTCTGACAAGTACCTGACTCAGGGTGAGGTAAGGGGGCCCAGTACAGGGCACTGCCATTTGGCTTCCACACTGTTAGTGCCAAGGAGGAGATCCTTGGGCAATAACATTCAAGGGGTAATGTCATGCAGAGGCACTCGGAAAGAAAAAACCTTGCCTGGAGTTAGGGGCTCCAGGGACAAGTTGATGGCTGGGAGGTGGAGAGCAATTCTGATTGACAGACTTAAATGAAGATAGTAACTGAGAATTCATGAGATCATCTGGAGTAAGAAACAAGGCAAGGATGCCCCTGTGAGTGCAATACATAGAATGGCATGGTGTCAACGCCCAGGTCTTCTGCACCACCACCCCCTTTAAGGTTCAGCCAGGTCAGTCCACTTTAGCCCTACATTTGTAGTTCTTTCTGCAAACCTGGGCAAGTTACTGCCTTAACACTGTGGCCTCCTTGGTGAAAGGAGAGGGAGATTGTCTCCGTTTATTTCCCTTAACTGTGATAAATCACCTTGACAAAAGCAACTTAAGGGAGGAAGGGTTTATTCTGGCTCACAGTTCAGGGTACAGTCTATCACTGTGGGGAAGTCAAGGTAACAGGAGCTGGAAGCAGTCAGTCACAAAGAGCAGTGAATGCATGCTGCTGCCCAGCTCTCTGCTTACACAGCCCAGGATCCCAGCCAGGGTATGGTGCCACCCACAATGGGTAGGTTTCCACCTAAGCCTAAGCAAGCTAACCCCCCTACAGGCATGCCAAGGGACCTATCTTTCAGGGGTTTTTCACATTTTACAACTTGGCACTACCCATCACAGAGGGAGAAGTAAGAGATGAAGGCAAGGACTCACTCTCTCCACTCGAGTTCATCCTCCAGGCCCAACTCTCAAGCACAAAAGAGAAGGGGTGCACACAGGGCATAGGGGCTGTAACAAGGGATACCCAGGAGAGCGAATTACCCCACATCCAGGGTTAGAAGAGCTTTGGTGGCTCCCCGGTTTGATCACCAGCTCATCCACTCAGGCCTCCCTGGGCCTAACGTTCTCATTAGAAGTATGACCCAAAAGAGCACGAGACCACTATCTCACCAACCACCTTGCTGTAGACAAGTCACACAGTTCAGCCAGAGCTCCGACTTGCTCAAGCACACCCAGCAGCATAGTGTAGCCTGGACCTTTGAACTGCACCGCTACATGTGTGGCCCTTTCCCAGCTCCCATCACCATGGCACCCTGGTGCCAGCATCTCTGGTTTTACTGAAAATGAGGCTATTGGTATGAGAGGCTATTTATCCACTGAACATAGGGTGTGGCGTGGCTCCTTAGAGGGCTGTGGCTTAGGCCAAACACAAGCGCAAATGGAAGGCCTAGGCCTACCTGTAGGTGTGTTCCAAGCTTAAACCAAGAAAGATAGGGGCACGGCCTGGGCCCAAAGACTGGGCTCTAGAGGTTTAAAAAAAAAAAATATCCATCCAGTGAGAGCTGAGACTAAGGCAAAAGAGGTGTAACCGGAAGGGTGGACTCTAAAGCGGTATATGTATGATGAGCGGGGCTGGGGTCTGGCTCAATGAAAAGTCTCCACTTCCACTACTGTCCAATCACCCTGTGGGGAGGCCACGTCGTCCGGGGAGAAGCTGGTGACTGAAGTGATGCTGGCACGCGACTCGTCCAAGGGAGACAGCAATTCGGCCCAGCGGCCCAATTCGGCATCGCTAAGCGGAGCCCGGGATCCCCCCGGGACACCACCACCCCCTGGGCCTCCTGAACCTCCTTCACTGCCGGCAGCTGCTCCCTCGGCTGCCGCTAGCAACAGCGTCCGGCTCAGCAGGTGCTGTACGACGCTCGCCTGCAGCGCCCCTAGCGGCAGCTCGCCAAGGCGAGCCGATTTGGGGCTTCTCGAGGATGCTCCTGAGCCCGGGGCAGCGGTTGCCTTCCCACCGCCAGAGCCCAGCTTCGGCTCCGGCTCCGGCTCCGGTTCCGCATCTAGGGATCCAGGGGTAGGGGCCACCGACTCTGGTCCTTCAGCTTCGTAGATGGTGCACAGGCCGTCAGAGGAGCCCGCGCAGGCAGCGGGAGGCCAGGGCAGGGGAACTCCTGTAAGAACAGAAGTGGGGACCAGCGAGATTGGCTCAACGGAGGGCGCTTGCCACCAAGCCTGACCGGCGTTTGATCTCTTGAGCCTACACAGTGAAGGAGGGAAACAACTCCCACAAGTTATCTGATCGGCACATCAGCGCTGTGATACATGAACCCGCACAAATACTCAAGCAAGTGAATAAATAAAATTCATGATGTGAAAAAAAAAATTAAGGACCAGCAGGGGATGGAGAGATGGTTCACTGGTTAAAAATACTAGCTGCTCTTTCGGGAGCCCTAGGTTCGATTCCCCTGCACCCATGTGGCTGCTCACAACGGTCTGTAAGTCAAGTTTCGGGTACCTGACATACTTTTCTAGCGTCTACTGCACCACACACATACATTCAGGTAAATCACCGGTACACATAGAATGAAATAAAAATAAAATAGGGCTGGAGAGATGGTTCAGCGGGTAAGGCTACTAGGGAGATCTGAGTTCAACCCACAGGTAAGGTGAGAACAGAATTTTTTTAAATATTTATTTATTTATTTATTATGTATACAATATTCTGTCTGTGTGCCTGAAGGCCAGAAGAGGGCGCCAGACCTCTTTACAGATGGTTGTGAGCCACCATGTGGTTGCTGGGAATTGAACTCAGGACCTTTGGAAGAGCAGGCAACACTCTTAACCACTGAGCCATCTCTCCAGCTCCCGAGAACAGAATTTTATAAGCTGTCTGACTTCCACAAATGCGCCAGAGTACATACCCACAACACTCCTAGCGCCTCTAGAGGCAGCTACAGTTTGTAAAGAGATACAAACATACAAAATGAGTACACAAACGTGATTTTTAAGGATGTGGGGCTGGAGAGGAGGCTCAGAGATAAAGAACAACACTGCTCTTGCAAGGACCTGAGTTCGGTTCTAAGCACTCATTTCGGGTAGCTCACAATAGCCTGTAAGAGCCGCACACGTGTAGCATACTATATATATAATTGGTTTTTTTAAGAGGTTGCGAGACGAGTAAAGGCACTTGCAGCCCTGCCTGACGACCTAAATTCTATCCCCGTAACTCACACGGAGGAAAGAGAATAGATTACTGCACGTTGTCCGCTCATTTCCATGCACATATACACATACTAAATAAATATAAAATTCAAGTTAAAAAAAAAAAAAGCTTGACTCCATGAAAAGGTCCGCCCCCGAGTCTTAACTCCTTACCTGGAGCGCCACGCACTGCCAACGGTGGAGCAGGACCTCGACTCCAGGAGGCCGGGTGGCAAGCCGCTAGCTCCGCGTCTGCGGCCGGGGAGACTGCGGCGCAGCCCTCGGGCCCGCTGTCGTAGCCACGGAGCTCCTCCGGCGTGCTCGTGGCGCTGCTGCTGTGGCCTGCCAGGTCCGGGCCACTCAGCGTACTGGACGGGCTTCGCGAGGGTGGAGGTGGCGGGGCAGGGGCCAGTGACAGGGTCAGCCGTGGACTTGAGATCGGGACATCTGGACCTGGAGTCGGGGGTCGACGAGGGACTTGCAGTGGGGGTGAGGCAGGAGGAGAAGGAGGCTGAACAAGGGGCGAGGGCAGGCCAGGAGGGGGCGTGGCCAGAGGAGAGGACGGGGTCTGGAGAGGAGGCAAAGCCAAGAGGGGAACCTGTAGGGGAGGTGGCGCCGTGGCCGGCGGGGAGGAGGGAGCCTGCAGAGAGGGCAAAGCCGGAGAAGAGGGGTCCTGCGGAGGGGGCGAAGTCAGAGGAGTGGGTGAATCCAGTGAAGGTGGGGCTTCTGGTGGGGGCGTTGCCAAAGGAGACGGAGGTAAGGGTGAAGGAGAAAGAGGGCGCTCTAGAGGAGGTGAAGCAGGAGGGGAGAGAAGAGCTGGCAGAGGAGGCGAGGCCGGGGACGAGGGAAGAGGCGAAGGATATGTAGCCAGAGAAGGCGCCTGCAAGGGAGGCGAGGGTAGAGAGTGTGCCTGCACAGGGGATGTGGGCATGACAGAGAGCGAGGCCTGCAGAGGAGGTGAGCCCAAAGGCAGTGGGGACGATAGCGGTGACACAGCCAAAGGAGCAGGCGTGGCCTGCTGGGGCGACGAGGCCCGGGAGGGTGTCGAGGTCAACAAAGAAGCCTGTGAAGTGGGCAAAATCAGAGGTGGTGAGAGCCTCAGAGGAGGCGTGACCACGGGAGAGGGAGGGACATACAGAGGTGGGGAGGAGAAAGGAGAGGGAGAAACTGGAGGAGAAATGGCCAGAAACAGAGTGTCTTGCAAAGGCGGCGTGGTTCGATTAGAGGGCGTGTCCTGGAGAAGGAGAGGAGACCCAGAAAAGTTGGCCGGCAAAGGGGGCGTAGTTAGAGCGGACAGAGTGGACGGAGAGGGTGTGACCAGGGGCGTAGGCTGATTCTGCGGGGAAACTGGCGGTGAAGGAAGGACTGGTGGAGGAGGTGTGGCTAGAGGTAGAGGCGCAGGTGAGAAAGGAGTGGCCGAGAGAGTCTCCGGAGGGGGCGAAGCTGAAGAAGCCTGGTTGCAGGGCACACTCTGGACAAGAGATGAAAGCGGTAGAGAGATCACGGCCATTGGTGGGGGTGAGTCAGAGGCCTCTTCAGGACCCAGGCTTGTGGGTGGAGCTTGCAAAGGGGGCGTGGCTGGTGGGGAGGGGAGGTTCTGCAGAGAAAGCGGGGGAGGTGATGATGGGCAGTTTATGGCCTGTGATTGGGGTGTTGCCTGTGCAGAGGACTGGGCCTGGAGTAAAAGAGCAGCAGGTAGAGGGGGGGTAGCGGGTGGAGAGGGAGGGAGCGCGGCCTTCAGCGGATCCTCTGGGACCTGGACAGAGGCAGCCTGAGGTGTGGAGGCTTCAGGTGGAGCGGGCGTGACTAAAGATGAAGCAGAAAGTAGACTCTGTGCAGAGGTTCTGTCCTTCCTCGGGACTGTGGTCTGGGGTGGGCGCAGAGCTTGCTGCCCTTTCGACTTGAGCTGCGAGGTGTGCGCAGGAGCCCGGGGGGTGGCACGCGGAGAGACCCCAGAGCGAGCTGGAGAGAGCTGAGGAGTAGCAGTGGAGCTCAGGGAACGGGAGGCCGGCTTCGGCAGGCTGCCACCAGCGGCAGAGCGCCTCTTCAAGGCTGGGCTCAGCTCCGGGACACTGCGCTCCGCAGCACTGCTCACAGGTTTCCTGGGTGCCTCGGTGGTCAGGGGACGCTGCCGGGCACTGGGAACTGGTCGAGGAATTCCCACCTCTGTAGCCGGAGGTCTGGACCGACGAGGGATGGCAGGAGAAGAGGTTCCTGAGGTGAGTCCTAAAGAATCTGCAGACAAAAACGACAGTCCAGAAGAAACACGGATACCTCGAGACTAGTGGCCCTCAAAGACTGATAGAAACCTGCTTGTCTCCAGGTCACACACCTCTTCGCGTTCCAGAGCTCAGAGTGTTCCTTTTGGGTGCCTCTGGTGCTTTACCTCTGACCACGGGCTCCTTAGTCGGGGGTTGGGGTCCCTTCTGGACAGCAGGGCCTGGTCTGGAAACAGGAGGACCAGCTGTTCTTGGTATTCCCAGTCGCACACTTCCCCACCTGTGACATGGAGTTGCTTGCCTTCCTGTGACCCAACCAATAATAACTTTTGCCCAATTTGACCCACTATCTGCAAGTGTTCCTGAGCCAACTGGTGGGAAATATTTTTGTGCATGTGTGTGCACGTGTCTTCAGTTGTGCTCCCCGAGGCATGCTCGTGTGGATGCCAGAGGTAAGCACTGGCATCTAGCTGGATCTCTTTTCTTTCTTTCTTTCTTTCTTTCTTTCTTTCTTTCTTTCTTTCTTTCTCTCTTTCTTTTTTCCGAGACAGGGTTATTCTGTAGCTTTGGAGCCTGTCCTGGAACTAGCTCTTGTAAACCAGGCTGGCCTCGAACTCAGAGGATCCACCCACCTCTGCTTGCTGGGATAAAAGGCGTGTGCCACCACCACCCGGCTCTTTTCTCTGTCTTATTTTTGCATTCTGTTTTATTTATTATCACTGTGTAGACCAGGCTAGCCCCAGACTCATAGAGGTCCATATGCCTCTGGCTGCTGAGGGCTGGTATTAACAGGCCAGCACCAGGAATCCATCTCTCCCCACCTCCCATTCCCACCCAGAGCTGAGGTTATAGTGGTACACCACCGAGACTAGAGTTTCATGCTCGGGTCCTCATATTTGCGCAACAAGCACTTCACCACACTAAGCCACCTTCCCAGCCCATTCTTGCGTAATTTCAAAAGGCACCAGATTGCTAAACTAACCCTTGCTTGGGGAATTAAGGAATTAGAGGAATTAGCGTGTTACCTGGTGATCCCACTGCTAGCACGCCCGGGGCTAGAAATAGAACCCTGGCCGGAGATCTTCACCGGGGCCTTCTCTCCTTTCCCAGAAGCTGCGGGCCTGGAGGCTTCAGGGAGAAGACAAAAATCAATGGCATTTCTGAAAAAGAAGAGTATCCGAGAAGGAAGAGGGAAGGTGAGCGGTGTGAAAATTGAAGTCACAGATGAAGCTGAGCACCTGGACTGCGAGGACCTGCCCCAACGCTGCTGCGCGGGGGTGCCCCCTGCACAGCTGTCTGTGGAAGAGCTGTTTTGCCGACGCCCGCGGCTCGCTCCACCGGGGGCCTTCGCCCCACAGCTCCATTTGCTTCCAGGACTCGAAGGGCAGCGGTGGTTACAGGGGGAGGAGGTCGAGGGGATCCAGGAGGCCTAGGGGTCAGAAGGCCTGGAGGTCGTGAAACTGGCATCCGCGGGGCAGCTCCTGCCTTGACCTTATCCCTCTTGTCCATATTGCACCTGATGAGGAAAACAGAGGGGTCAACATCCCAGTTCCTGAACCACTCACTACAAACGATCCTGGCGCCTCCCTATGCTTTCTCCAGCATCACCACCCAGGAGTGCCTAAACCTCAGCCTCAAGAGCCTCAATTTGCTTTCCTTCCAACCACCCACACCCGCTCACCAGCCCGGTCGCTCAGTGTTGTCAAGTCCCACCGCCACCTCCATCCCCCAAAGCTGAGACGCCCTATTCGTGTCCCCCCCCACACACACACGCGCCCGTGCCTCTGCCCTCTTACAAAAACAACATCCATGCCCCTACCCCTCGCCTCTCGGAGACCCAAACGACCAGTCCCCCAAAACAGGACTTCCAGATTCAGGGTCCTCCGAACGCACACCGAGTGGGATTCACCAGCGTCCTCCCCCAGGTTCCCCAAGCACCTGCAGGGAGAAAAAGAGTGGCCTCGTAGCCCGCGAACGGGCTCCGGTAGACAAAGAGCTGCTTCCCGGGCCCGACCCCTCCCCCAGTACGGTCTCCTAGGCCAGCGATCCGCCCGTTCCACCTGCTCACGTCGCGCGCTCACCTACGCCTCTGGCCACGAGCCGCTCCACTCAGGGTCGCCTGGGGTGGGACTGGGCCGGAGCAGCTCTGGCGGGGAGCGGCGAAAAGGCAAGGGGAGGGGGCTGCAGGCGACAGTGCCTGGGGAGCCTGGCCGCGGCCCCGCCCCTCAGCCGCGGGCAGGGAAAGCCCAGAATGCGCGTGCTCGCGCTTGATCCAGAGTCGGGAGCGCGCCGAGGGGGGCTGAGAGAAGAGGCGCGCCTACGAGGGAGGTACTCGTGTTGCCTGCCTGTGACCACCCCGGGGGAGGCCTATTTCAGTGGCCCTGTCCAGCGACCACAGACTTAGCCAGAGATGCTTAGTAGGGAAATCCCTTGAAGACCCTCCACAGTCCCCCTACTCCAGCTCTTGCACCTGCTCCTTCTCAAGCACTTGGAGACACCCCCTTTTCAAGCACTTGGAGACCAACATTCTCCTGGACAGGGATAGGCTGGGCCTTGGCAACCAGTAGGGCGGGATCACCGAGCCTCTGGCCCACCAACCAATCCAGCCACTCTGTGTCCTCCAGTCCCCCTTTCTTGATGACTGTGGAGGCTAGATAGCCCTAGGATGTCTGAGCCAGTGCGCCTATCTTGCGACCCCAATTTTTCTCACACCCTGGGTAACCCCGTACCTGCTGCGGATTGGTGGGGGATGCTGGAGAATGCGAACCCTGGGAGCTAATTTTTATTACATTTTATTTATTTAATTTATTAAGTGTGCGTGTGTGTGTGTGTGTGTGTGTGTTGGTGTGTGTACGTGCCACTGCACGCTGTTAGACGTCACAGAACAACAGTAGGGCTAGTTCACTCCTACAACCTCGTCCTGGGGATGAAACTGGGGTGATGAGGCTTGGCAGCAAGCGTATTTATCCACTGAGCCATCTCACAGAACTCAAACTCTTGGGCTTAGGGGATGCACAGCAGAGCCCAGATTTGGAAGAAGAGAGGAAGCTCAGAGGGAGGAAAGAAAGGGAGAAAAATAGGAAACACGGTGGTGACTCTGCCTTTTGCGGGGCAGGACATCTCTACTTAGCTGGCATACAGGCAGTCAAGGCCTCAGACGTTTCCTGGCAGAGCTTGTGGATCGTTAAGAAGCATGATTCCCGAGGGTAGGAAAAGTCTGCAAACAGGTGTGTGAAGAAGCTGAGAGTGTTCTGTCTGAGGGTCCGCAGCTGAGCAACTAAAAGGTGTCACTTTAGGAGGTTAACTCACAGACCCCATGGGGGCAGGTGCACCGGCACAGGAGATCTTACCCACAGGGGGTGTTAAACCAAACCGCTGGTCTCCAAGGGTTCTCTGGAGTATAAGGACTCTTTGAGCTTGGTATTGTGGGCTGCATGGCCAGTACTCCAGATATAGAGGCAGGAGGATCCTGCGTTCCAGATCAGCCTGTACTACTTAGCAAAGCTTGCTGAGCCATTTTGGCGCTAGGTAGATAAAGAAATGAGTCCTGGACCAGTGTCCTGAAAGTTCCAGAAGAAGGGCTGGAAAACAACTGGATTCAGAGTTAAGAGCATTTTTAGGGCTGGACATATAGCTCAGTTGGCAGGTGCTTCTGCAACAGACAAAGAGCCTCTGCAGTAACACACGGACTTGGCATGGCGGTGTGCGGCTATCTTCCCAGCATTTAGGAGGGGGAGACAAAATCAGGAGTTCAGCATCATCCTTGGCTACACAGCGAGAGATAATTTGAGGACAGTCTTGGCTGTATGAGACCCTGTCTCAAAAAAAAAGAAAAGAAAAGAAAAGAAAAAAGAAACAGCAACAGCCACACCCTTAATCCCAGCAGGCTGAGGCAGGCAGATCTCTGTGAGTTCAAGTCCAGCCTGGTCTACATAGTGAGTTCTAGAACAGCCAGACATAGTGAGATCCTGTCTAGAAAAAAAAAAAAAAAAACAGCAACACACACACACCAAAAAAAAGTTGTTGGTTTTGTTTTAAATTAGGTCAGGCAATGTGGCCCTACCTGTCATATAACTTGATATGTATACCAGGCTGGGAAAAGAAAAGAAAAGCAAGCACCATTTTGAGATAAGGGTGTGGTTACATAATGAATACTGAAGCCTCTGGAGCACCTGCTGAGCCATGGCACTGACCCATTGCTTGCTTTTTCTACACAAGGTGTTACTCTGTAGCCAGCTGTCATGGAACTCACTATGTATCCTAGGCTAGTTTCAAGATAGTGGCAACCCATTAGCCTCTGGGGCATGAGGAGGTGGAATTACAGTCAGCTCTACTTCACCCGCTGGTTACAACTCCTGAATGGAGAAAGCTCAGTCCGGTGCTTCTAGCCACACCTTACTTAGGCAACGCTCTGAATTCCAGGAAGAGATGAATTACTCACATGCATGTGGGTACCCATGTGTTTGCCGTGTGTGTGTGTGTGTGTGTGTGTGTGTGGTGTAAGCTGGAGTGACGAGCCTAGGGAGCTGGTTCTGGGAGTGGCTCTGGATCAGAAAGTACCACAGGCCCATGGATACTCAGCCTACAAATATGATAATGTTGTAGACTCAGACACAGGGAAAGCCCAGCAGCAGGCCACTGGAATAAGCTACCACACCCTGAGAGATAGTCAACTTAACCAAAGCCTGAGGTAGAGCGAAAGAAATGAGAAAGCCAACTAGTTAAGTCCTGTGAGCCAGACTAACAACAAAAGACTTAGTCCTGATTTAAGGCCTGAGAGAGGGCTCAGCAGGCAAAGGTGCTTTCTTGGCAAGCCTGGAGATCTGAGTTTGATCCCTGGAATCCACATAAATGTGCCACGACACATGTGTGTACAAATATGCAAAAGTAAAAAAAAATGTATCAAAAGTAGTTTTGTTGTTGTTGTTAAGCAAATATATGCTTCAGAGGGGACTCATTTGGTCAAAGCATTTGCCTCACAAATGTAAGGACAGGAGCTCCATCCTTAGAACTTATTCAAAAAGCCCCGTGCAGTACAGCAGGTACCTGTACCCCAGCAACAGCAGGTGGGAGGAGATGAGTGGGTCCCTGGAAGCTTGTTTGTTAGTTTGCTAGTTTAGCTTACTTGGCAAAATCCTAGGCTAATGAGAGACCCTGCCTCTGCAAAAGGTGGAACTGTGACAAGAGGCTAACCCGAAAGAAGCCTTCGTCAGCTGGGCTTCATCCCACAAACAGCTCGAGGAACATCTGGATTACCCAAAATGGGTGGAACAGGCGCCACATAAAAGTCCTCTAAGGAGTTACACGGTTCAGGACTCTCAGTTTGGGGCTTCCCCTCAGCTCATTAGCTCACTCCCACTCTCAGGAGTGTTCTCAATAAATTTTCTCTGTCTCTATTCCTAAGCATGTGTCCTTGGTCTAAGTCTGGACACTTTGACAGGCGCTTGAGGTCTCAGATCCAGAGGCATGACACCTGAGCTTGTCTTCTGACCTCCAAGCACACATGTGCATGAACATGTACAGCCACAGAAAGCAAATAAAGAAGCCAAAAAAGAGCTGTGCTCATCCAAGGATACAGAAACAGAAAATAGAAACCCTCAGAACCGAGTACCCTGCTTTGGACTCCTGATCTTGTCGTTCTGAACCTTGCCACCTCCTAGATCTACTAATTGTCATCTCTGAGAGCCCCTAGCCCCGCTATCTTTTTGATTGTAAATGTCCGCACACAGCGCCCTTCCTGAATTACAATCCACCTGCTCGGAGGCCTGACCACCCACGTTCTGTCTATGGTCAAGGGATCTTCTAAGCATCTATTAAATCTGCTGTGTTTAACTGGAATTTGAACTCTCCCTGGGCTAGAGGAATGGTTCATCAGAGAAGAGTACTGGTTGATCTTGAAGAGGACCCAGATAAATTCCCAGAACCCACATGACAGCTCACAATCATCTGTACCTACAGGTTCAGGGGATCCAATGCCTTCTTCTGGCCTCCGTGGGCACCAGGCATGCATGTGGCACACAGACATTCATGTAGATAAAACAACCACACACATAATAATGATTAAAACATTATTAAAATGACAATAAATAGAAAAAACACTCTCCAAATGCCCATCAACCTGGAGATGAAGCCAGGCAAGTCAGTGTGCAACAGTAGCCACTTGGGAAGAGGTAGCAAGATGTTAAGTTCACTTGAACTCAGGAGTTTCATTTAGACATCCTGGGACATACAACAAGATCTTACTTATACTTGCTTATACTTGAAGATTTTTAAAGGTTTTTGTTGTTGTTTTGTTATTTTGTTTGGTTTTGTGTTTTTTTGTCTTTGTTTGTTTGTTTTTTTGAGATAGGATCACTGTGTAGCTTTGGAGCCTATCCTGGAACTCACTCCATAGACCAGGCCAGCCTTAAATTCACAGAGATCTATCTGCCTCTGCCTCCCAAGTGCTGGGATTAAAGGCATGCGCCACCACTGCCAGACTATACTTGAAGATTTTTTTTAATAATTTTTTTTATATTTATTTACTTATTATGTATACAATATTCTTTCTGTGTGTATGCCTGAAGGCCAGAAGAGGGCACCAGACCTCATTACAGATGGTTGTGAGCCACCATGTGGTTGCTGGGAATTGAACTCAGGACCTTTGGAAGAGCAGGCAATGCTCTTAACCACTGAGCCATCTCTCCAGCCCCCTATACTTGAAGATTTTATACTTGGTAAAATGGCTCAGCTAGTCAAGGGATCTGCTAGCAAGCAGATGATCCAAAGACTAGAGTTTGATCCCTGGGACCCCTGCAGTGGAAAGAGAAACCTGACTTGTGAAGGTTTGTCCTCCGACCTCCACAAGCACACCACGGCATGGGCACTGCCGCTCACACACACACACACACACACACACACACACACACACACACACAAAATGAGTAAATAACAGTATCCTAAAAAGGCTGGGTGTGGTGGCACATGCCTTTACTCGCAGCACTCAAAAGGCAGAAGCAGGTGGATCTCTGTGAGTTCAAGGCCAGCCTGGTCTACAAGCTGAGTCTCAGAACAGCTAAGTATGTTATACAGAGAAACCCTATTTCAAAACAAACAAACAAAAGTAATAAAAAGAAGGGCCTTCGAGATGGCTCAGAGAGGCGAAGGCAGAAGAATTCCAGCAGGTGTTACGTAGAAAGAAAGATCCTGTCTTAAAAACAAAACGCGCGCGAGCAAGCGCGCGCACGCGCGTGCGCGCACACACACGCAAGATTCTGGCAAGTTTGAGGCTATCCT